TCCCCCCCCCCCCATCCCTGCCTATTCTTGAGCAAGTCACTTTTCCTTCCCAAACTTCCCAATCCCCCCCCCGCAAGTTTACTCTTACCACGGAACTGCTGTAAACCAGACCAGTTTTTGTATGCATTAAGGCACCGGGGTGGAGCTGTCCTGCCACCCTCTTACTTCAGTAATTGCCTGAGTATCCCTGAAAGGTGACCTGCCACACTTCTCTACCTTTCGGAAGGACAGTGGTTGCTCACCAGCATCCTGAGGATGCAGGAGACAGGAGGCCAGGTACGCTGGCTCGGACCATGAGCTGGTCCAGGGGGTTTGCATAGCTGCTCTGACCACACCAATCACACGGGTATTAAATAGTGCAAAGAAAAGAAGCAATGGTTTAGTTTTGAAACCTGAATCCTTTAAAAAACTGATCTGAGGTAAAATGTTTAGAATAGTCTTGACCTTTAGCTTGTCCCTCTGACAGACCTTTTGTCCCAAAGCTGGAAGTAGAAGCAGGATTAGGTGTGGTCACCAGTGGCACGGACGCGAGGACCTGCCACGTGCACAAACTGCAGTGGGAAAGCCACGGGAGGATCCAGGGCTCGTTAGTGTTTTGGGCTTCCTGATGCCCCTCCCCCAGTAGGAAGTCTGTCATCGTGTGTGACAGTGTCAGTGAGAAGAGGACAAGTTTCACTGCCAGCTCCCACCCTCAGCCCCTCCACTGCCAGGAGTGATGGGGCGGGGTCTCAGAGACCCAGGACAGGAGCCAGTGTGTCTGCGACAGGAATGACATCTGTAAACAAGGAGGAAGCCAGGGGACAGGGGAGACTGACAGGCGGCCCTTCAACAGGCCAGTAGGAGGGTCACATCCCAACTGGAACGTGCCGTGCAGTGCCCCTGAACCTCTCTCTGGAAGGAAGGAAAGACGTTACATTCACAAGTCCACATCTCTGCGTGTGCTGCTCCCCAGGCCCCTCAGAGAGGCGTGTACTGATTGTCTATGGCCCGCAGGTGGCCCCGCGAGGCCGAGTCCATCTCATAGTCCGAGTCCTGGGCTCGACTCGCAGGCTCCGGCTCCAGACGCCGCAGGCTGTCAGCCAGCTCCTCGGGCGAAGGCACCAGGTGGAAGATCTGCTCTGGGGGTGAGGCGCGGCCTGGGAGAGCCTCTGGGCCGAGTCCCCGGGGACAGCTGGAAGAGCTGAGGTGGGGAAGGCCCAGCTCTGAATCCCAGCGAGGGAGGGAGAAGGGAAACAGGACGGTGCTGCAGGAACCTGGGACAAGTGACCGAGAAAAGCCACACGTCAGCCACCTGCACAGGGACCACCCCTGGTCCACAGCCCCTCTGCCCTCCACCTGCCGTCTGCCTGGGCAGAGGGCGCCAGCGTCACACCTGCTGCCTGGGAGAGGACGACCACGTAGCTGGAGAGGCGGACGTCGCAGGCCGCACCGCACTCGAGTGGGATGGGCGAACGCTGGAAGTGGCGCAGCATGTCCAGGACCGAGGGGAAGTGCAGGTGCTGCACGCGGCACTGGCCACGCTCACTCAGCGACAGGCGCAGGTGCTGCGGAGGACACAGGGCAGGCTGGGACTGGCTCCGGGCCCCGGGCCCCAGCCGCAGCCGGGCTGGGCGCCGACCCACCTGCTGTACCTTGGCTATGCCCTGGAAGTTGAACGTGAGCACATACTCCCCGCGCCGGCTCTCGCTCTGCCGCACCAGGAACACCCCGTGTGCAGCCGGGCCTTGCAGCTGCACCAGCTGGGCTGCCTTCACCCTGGAGATGGGGCCATGGAACCAGGGGTAGCAGGACAAGAAGTGGTCCGTCTTCTGGCAGGGGGGCTCCAGCAGCCCCCCAGGAGAAGCACCTGGGAGAGGAGAGGGGCGGTGGTGACCCCTGTGGTGCCTTTGGTCCTGGGCTGAGGACAGCGCCCGCCCCACTCACCTTGGTTCAGGGAATCCGTGCTTCCCCTTGGGGAGCTGGCCGTGCTGGGCCCTGGGCCTGAGGGAATGTGCGTCTCCGCCGAGTCGGTGGGCCCCCCAGCCTGTGGAGAGAGGCTGGGGTCAGGGACCGGCAGCGCAGAGGCGGCGGCACGGGCTGGGCCTGAGCCTACCCTGTGTACTCCTGGAGCTCCGCTAGCCACGAGTTCAGCTGCTGCTCGTCTCCCACCTCGAAGATGATGTCTGTGCGGTCCTTCACCTGGCAGAGAGGGAGGGCGTGCTGTGTGGCTGGGGGCGTGCGCGCGCCCTCCTGTGGGTGACGGCCGCACTCACCTTCAGCACAAAGGTGTGGAGGTTGTCGGGCATTTCCAGGCGTGTGCAGCGCCGGGCCTCCCGGATGCTGGAGCAGCTTGCTTGTAGCTTGGGCTTTGAACTCTAGAAGACCAGGGGCTGGTCAGGGCTTGTCCCTTGGCCCCTGTCCCTCCAGACCTTGGGTTTGCCTGCTGTCTCCCCAAAAGCCCTGTGACAGCAGGCCCCAGGGTGTCCCATCCACACTGGGACCAAGAAACCCGACTGGCGGAAGGCCTTGC